TCCCTTTCCCCAACAATAGGTAGCAACATTAGGTTTACCATGTCTTCTAAAGTCACGTTGACTTCCCCGAAAGCAAGGATGAAAGTATGAGTGCTCGTACACCATCTCTGACCAAATGACAAAGGCACTCCACATTGCCACTAATCTATAAAGTCTGACTCAGCGCCACCGACTTAAGAATCCCGACGGTAATATCTCCACAAAGCCATTCTCGACAAGCATCTCCTTAGCCTAACTCGATCAATCTTCCATCTTACTAAACAAGAAGGCAAAGTGAATCAAACTAGTAGCAAGTCTCGTTTTTCAAGCCTTGCCCGCATTACGTCACGTGGTGAAGGAAACTTGATGTCACCCCCTTTGAATGCCTCAAGCAAAACTAGATCATTCTGCTTCTCAAACGCCTTTTTCGTTGACCAAGTGTTGAATTCCAAGAAGTCGTCCTGGAAAGTGTACCATGGGTCTTGGTACAACTACACTCCATCGATTAGATAAGGATTAGCCATCCCCCAAGGCTTTCTTCAAGAGGAAAAGAGGAAGCAAAACAAAGATTTGGATTAATAAAGGCATGAGAAATCTGCAACATGCAATAATAAAAAAAAAAAACACAGCAAAAAGATAGAGATTCATGTTACCTCAGTTAGAAGGAGGACTTTGTTAAATTTGCACACTCAATCAGCCCCTTCAAAAAAGATCTGGTTACTTTGTTGGGAAACCTAGGAGTTTCGTGAAGAAGATGATGGAAATCAGAGGCACAATAAAGAGAAAAAAGGGTTTAACGGTTTTGTGAAAAAAAAAGGGGGGAAAACTGAAAGGCTCACTAAGGAACAAGGAGAATGGTAAAAAGGGAATTTAAGAGTAACATTAAGTGCACTGGCCAACCACTTCACCACCTATTGCACATCAACATGGCCAGAAATTACCAGAGGGGCAGCAAGTAAGGTGGACATTGTCTTAATGCATATGCATATATGCGATCTCCTTTAAAATCTCCTCTTTTTATATGCCATCATAACGGGATTTTTGGGAAGATTCAGTTTCTTTATTTTTCTAAAGGGGGAGTTACTTTTTCTCTCTAACTGTTGAAAACTTCCCTGGGGAACAGTTTTGAATTTTTCTTCAGATCTGAATTGCACATGAATAGTGTAACAAAGGGAGGGGAATTTTTCTACAGTAACTACTCAGAACGTATTATTTTTCCAAGCAAAAAACCAATGCAGCCCATGTAGGAATCCTGATGAAGATGCAACTAAAATCTTGTTCACTAAACTCATATCTACATAGGTTGGAATCACTGCTGGGTACTCTCTAAATCACACTAAAGCTTTTCTAGAAGATTATTTTGGTAAAATTTGCAAAGTAGGGTTTGGCCAAGCATAAGAGTAATTTTGCCTGTTTAGAGTAATTTTATGAATATTTCATGGGTGCCATTTATGTTGCTCGTCGTCTTGGTTGATCTTGGCTCTACTCCACACATACTTGAGATTTGTCACTCTCAATAACCTTGGAGTTTTTAGCCTGAGTTTTACTTCAGCCTTGCTTGGTTCGTATACATGTTGAGACTTTGCCAGCAACATCGAAGCCCATGATTAGAATTCTCACTCTAGGTGTGTTTGATTAAATCTGTATCAAAACCCTTGCTAGCAGCCTCACATTTCCCTGACTGGTATCTTGGTCTTATTCATCAATGACAACCAAGTCATATTAGCCTTACCTATGCTTACTGCTATTTTTCATGGCTAACCTTAGTACAATCTTGCCTCTGCCTCTGTAAAAGTTAGTTCATCATCAACAGCTTACTTGGCTAAAACTGAGTCTTAGCAATCCTAAGTCTTTCAAATCATGTCTACTTCAACAGAGGGCTCCACATTGATTATCTGATTTCTATATTATCCTAGCATGCTTGTGATCATATGGAGAATGTCCCAGTAATCTACCTCCCTCAATGCCAAGCGGCCAAACTTGTTGTCACAACTTCGCCCGCTTGGGGGGCTAATATTGAAGGATGAATTTGTATGACCGTAGAACCAATGACATATGCAAGTCCACATCAGCAAAGGCTTGTAGCACTTATTTTCCTGGTCGGACACACAATTTCTATTTTCTACTAATTACCACAATGGAATCAGCATCGCTAGAAACATCACTTACTTCGTTGGAAACATTGCAAGATGCAGCCCACTCCAACATCTACTTCTACATACATGGCCACACATGGCTAGGTCTATTTCAGCAACATGGCTAGACGTTTTTTACAATCATATCCTCTACAACGATACTCACTGTTACATCTTGCGACTCCCAACAATGGATAAAGAGCCAACTTCGCTATACAAACATGGCTCCCATCAACAAACAACAAGCAACATCTACATAGCTCCCAACAATGGACAAAGCGCCAAATTTAATATCTCATCTACCCTCCAACAATGGACAAAACGACTACACATTTCCACATATTTTCACTACATCGACTCTCAACAACGGATAAAGGGTCCGATCTCTATATATTCTATTTCACTAGCTCCTAAAACAAATAAAAAGTCCGCACAACTTGGTACGATCAGCGTGAGGCCGGTAACAATTGCAACCCTACGATCGGATGGGATGGCTAACCTTTAGTGATAGAAATCCATAAAGTAGCGACAACGGTCCCTTGGTGCTCACCTGTGCATGGTGATGCCGTACCCAACAGGCAACAACAACCAGGACCATCTTCTAACAATACGAGTACGACAAGAAAGGCCAGCGTTTGTCAATGGTATCACACCTTATCGTATCGAAGGCCATGGATGCGACTAGCGTCCCCCTTCCATAGAGACAACTGCACCTCTTTCCATCTCATAATCATCACTATGGAGTCTGGTTTAGTGAGATTTACCCTTTCGTGACTTGGCAAATTAGTGGAATGCTCTTTTGATTCCACATAGTTCACGCTCCAACCATGAGCAAAGCTAGCCACTATGGTCCTTCTAGTTATAAGGAAACAATTCATGGCTGACCCTACAATATAAAATATGGTTGGCAATCATGCACATTATCATTCTTCTATACAAAGGGACAAAATTACTGATCATTGACACTCCCAACTCATAACACATTTTCTATAGTTTATGTGTTAATAGGTATCGCCAACCAATGATGCTTAGCTCAGGATAATGATATTGCAACACACACCCATATCACTTGTTCTTTACTCTGGTGCAACACCAGCCATGTATAGCGATACACTAACACTCACAATGGCTAGCAAACAAAAGAGCACAACGAATATCCATATACATCATCCCCTTCAATACACAAGGGAGTTCCCTTGTTCACTGCATATATTTATATATTTCTTACACTTAAATATTTGAACATATA